CATTTGAAGCATACGTCGTATTATAACTCGATTCAACATTCCCGCTACTTTTCTCACCATGCAAATTCCAACATGCATAACTTCTATCAATTCCATGCATCAGTAAATGCGATTCCAACTGAACCGCGTCAACCCGTCTCCCATAACAGCATCTCAAGCAAGGACATATCATTCCATTGGGTTCTCTGGCGTGCGCAACGGCAAACTTAACGAATTCTGATACCCCATCCTCATACTCTTTCGACAATCGATTGGCAGTCATCCATTTTTTATCCATGGTTTGACTATAGCAACTAATTAGTCACGCAACTATAGCAAAATAATAATTAATTACCTGTAAAGAAATTCAACATATCAGGTAATCAAATTCATAGTTATTCTTGCCTCACCTTAAGCATGTGCTAAACAACTCATAACTAATTACTAACTAGTGAATTCGGATACTAGTAAAAACAATCAGTTATTCAAGTCAGTTCAAGAATAGGATAGAAACCTTTGAAAATGTTGAGAGCGTCCCGCGTACACTACGATCAAGGACAGTTCGAATTTCTTCAATCGGAGAAAGTTACCTCTCAGATGTTTCGAACTCTAAGAAACACGGAGAATGAGCGTCGCACGTAAAACTACATTAGTCTACACTATAGTCATGTCGATGATACAAAAGTGCGTGAAATAACCTTAGACCAACATTCACTTATAACAAAAAATTCTAAGATAACTCACACGTAGGTATTCTTCCTCCAAGTAGGCGGTATTGGTCCAGTGAGAAGGTTTCCAGTAAGAAATCTACCACAAAAGAAAATAAAGATATCAATATAAAAAGGTTAATATTTATTGAGCTAGACTGAGCATTGAGGGAGATAAGCTAGTTATATTGAATCGATTTAGTTAACTGTCTTGAGGGACCGTTCTATACAGAAAAGTGTTTTAATCAAGGTTGTCAAGATCTCAATCTATATCTTAAAATCTTATTATTTTGCAATCTTACTCACCCCAATGATCCTGATCTTATACACGACAATTCATTCCACAAGCTTTCAATTCAACACTCACTACTATTGACATTTCTTTATTTTTCATTCATATCATATTTATACGAAGAGGATTACGACACCGATATAAAGGATAACGAAGAACCTTTCACAATTCATGACAATGGCAACAGAGCCTCTGAAGGTATATAGATTTTACACCATTTACCACTATATTAAAATTCTGGCAGTTACACCAACGGAATGACGGAATGAAGAAGGAAAATGCTAAGCTTGAACCATTCCTACACTATATTGATTCAGAATCTTACCAAGGTGGAGAAGACGGAATGACCGGCGGCGGCGACGACTGAAGAGGAAGGAACGAACGGCGGCGACGACGACTGAAGAGGAAGGAACGAACGGCGGCGACGGCAGAAATGAGGAAGCTTAAGACGAACGAAGAAATGAAGAAGATCTGAACGAAAGAAATGAAGAAGACTAAAGAACAGATTTAGGGATTTTTAATTTTATTATAAAAACAACCTACGAAAGCGCTTTTAAAAGCGCTTTCGTATGCCCCCCATATGAGAGCGCTTATGAGGTAAAAAGCGCTTTTGTAGGTCCCCCTTTCAAAGCGCTTTTCAAAAGCGCTTTTATAGGGCCACCTATAAGAGCGCTTTTCAAAAGCGCTTTCGTAGGTTAGATATTTCAAATACCTATGAAAGCGCTTTCTGAAAAGCGCTTTCGTAGGGAACCCTATGCCAGCGCTTTTAAAAAAGCGCCTTCGTAGGTTTCCCTTTTTTTTAATTTTGTTTTTTGTGAAGGCTATGGCAGCGCTTTTTCAATAAGCGCTTTAGTAGAGGCGCTGCAAAAAGCAGTTTTTGGCGTAGTGAGTTAAGGCTTTAGAAAAACTAGATTTTTGTTTTGGAGGTGGTTTTAAACTTAAAATCCAGTACTAAAATGTGGTATTTATGTGAAGAAATGTGGTTTTTGAAAGTGGTTTAGATTTGGGGTATTAAGAAAAAGGTAGAGAGAAGGACGAGTCTCTCATTGTTCTCTACACCATCATAAACTTTCATAACTTAGGTGCTTTACTGGTGGCTTATTCCCGTTCCAAACTTCAATTGGAGTCTTATCTTGTACTGACTTAGTTGGACATCTGTTAAGTATGTAAATAGCAGTGTAGACTGCTTCAACCCATAATATGTTAAGAAGTCCCTTCTCCTTGAGCATCGATCTAGACATCTCCATAATTGTGCGATTCTTTCTCTCAGATACACCATTTTGTTGAAGAGAATATGCGACTGTAATTTGTCGCTCTATGCCTTCATCTTCACAAAATCTATCAAACTCAAGGGAGGTGTATTATTTGCCGCGATCACTTCTTAGTACTTTTATCTGTTTTCCACTTTGATTTTCAACAAGGGTCTTGAACTTTTTGAATACTCCAAAGACTTCTGATTTTTCTTTTAGGAAATAGACCTATGTCATTCTATAGAAGTCATCAATGAAGAGTATGTAGTACCTGTTGTTCTCGTGTGATAGCATCCTCATCGGTCCATAAACATCAGTATGAATTAGCTCCAACAGATCTTTTGCTTTCCATGCTCCTCTTATTGAGAACGGAAATAGGTGTTTCTTACCAAGGAGACATCCTTCACACACTTCATTTTTCTCCTTTATGCTTGGAAAATCTCTCATCATGTTCTTCTCATGTAACAACTTTAAGGCATGTGTGTTGAAGTGGCCAAATCTTTGATGCCAAAGCCATGAATCATCAACTTGTACCTTCATGGAAATGTTAGTTGTATGTTTTAAATTTAGCGGGAAACTTCTATTGCTCTTATTCATCTTCACTTGGATTATCTCGGCCCTTTTATTTTAATTGTCTAAGATTTTGCATACTCCTCATTCAAAGTGAAGTGTGTAGCCCCTCTCCATCATTTGTCCAATGCTTAGAAGATTTTCTTTAAGTTTGAGGACTAGTAAGACATCATGGATGAGTTGCGTACCTTTATCTGTCTCCACCATGACAGTGCCTATTCCTTTTGATTCAACCACACTGCCATTTCCCAGTCGAACTTTGTCTTTGACAGACTCGTCAATGCTTTTGAAAATAGTATCATCCTTGGCCATGTGATTGCTACATCCACTATCTAAGTACCAACTTCCTCCTTTTTCTTTGACTGAGTCTTTAGTGGCATAGAAAATACATTATTCTTGATCATTCTCCTCTGTGATATTAGCTTGATGCCTATTTTTGTTGCGATAATTTTTCTCTACGTGTCCAAACTTCTTACAATGGTTGCATTGTGGCGTATTATGGAACCAACAATTTTTCTCTCTGTGGCCCAGTCTTTTGCATATAATGCATGGATGATTTTTATCTGTTTTGTTCTTAAGGAAATCTCTAGAACCTTCTCTTCTTCTTGAAGTTTCTCTATAATTTTTCTTTCCTCCATTTTCTTTGTTTTGGGGATGAAATTTGAGCTTTGACTGGAAGACATTTTTAAGTGTATCTTCTTTATGCCTATACAGTCTTTGCTCATATGCTTCAAGAGAGACCACAAGTTCTGTCACTGATAGAGTGGACAAATCTTTGGTTTCTTCAATCGTTGTCACGATTGGGTCAAACTTTGGGGACATAGTAATTAGAATTTTATCAATAATTTTCTTGTCAAGAATGTCTTCCCCAAAAGCTCTCATTTGATTAACTATTTCTTTAACTTTAGAATAGTAATCTTTAACTATCTCAGACTCTTTCATCTTCAATAGTTCAAAATATCTTCTTAGAGATTGAAGTTTGACAGCACGTACCTTAACGCTTCCTTGAAACTCCTCCTGCAATGTATTTCACGCTTCTTTGGCAGTCTTAGCTTCCATAATTCTTGGGAAAATTGCATCAGTTACCGCTTGTTGCAAGGTGAACAATGCTTTTGAATTTTTCTGTTTATTTTTCTTCAACTATTTTTCTTGAGATGCATTAAGAGCCGAATTATCTGCGGGAACAATGAATCTTTCTTCTACTATGTCCCATAAATCTTGAGAAGAAAAAATGTTTCCATTTTAACACGCCAGAAATCAAATTTTTCACCATTGAAAATAGGGACAGAAATAGTTGATGATTAAGTGGTGTTATCCATGTCTTAGACAAATATTGGAGTGGTTTAATAGTACAAGGGAAATTTGTGAAGTAGTTGGGAGAAATTTGAAATGATATGTATTAATTTAACTACGCCCAATGTATGACCGAACGTAGTTCTGATGCCACTGTTAGAAGTGGTGTAGTTGATAGTTGATAGAAGATAGTTTTAGAGAGTTGTTTAGAAAGAAGGCTATGTCATTGATTTCTTGGATAATTCATTACAAGATACCAAATACTTATTTATAGGCTCAAATCACCAACCTCTCAATGGTGGTGAATGTTTCTACATTATTTTAGTTTTTTCTAGAGCTTTCATGATATGTTAGTATCATGATAGTTCTAGGTTCTTCTATCTTTTACATACACTTATAGTTCTAGATTATTCTATCATACTCATACATACTATAGTTTCTAGGATATTCTATCATTACCATACATATTATATTTAGAATATTCTAAAAATTTCTAGCAATTTCAACACTCTCATTGTTCTCTACACCATCATAAACTTTCATATATTAAATATAATATTTTTAATTAAAAAATTTATATATGACGCTCAAAACTAGTTTAATATTAAATATATTTATGATTGATGATTCGGACTATCATTCACATTTGAATACAAACAAAATTAAAGAAAAAATAAAGATAGTTAATAAAGAACTATAATTAGTATTAAATTCAATAAATTCTTAATCAAATAACATATATATGTGTGACCAAGTTAAAAAAAATTACAAGTATTTGGATACATAACCAATCCCCTACATAATTTAAAGAGCCTCAATTTGAGAATTTAAAATGTTTTTTTTCTTCTATATGAAATCCTTAAGTTAGAAACTAAAACAAAATGAAATTGGAAAATATTCAAAGAAGAACTATATCATATGGTTAGCCCACATAGTACAAATAGCCAATGATATGGTGAGAAAAATTCCTATCTTCTTCAACACCACATCAAAACCTTTTCCACTTTTGATACCAACAAACCAAACTTTTTCTTTCTCATTCCAAATGATTTTCTTCATGCAATTAGCTCCATAGCAATACTTATTTTTCACACACTTTGATTTTGGTTTCATATCTTCAACTTGCTCCTTCAAATAAACACAAAGCACCAAAAAAATAGCAAATATAAACACAATTACACTTGCTATTGTCTTTGATGGTTTCTTCATGTACTCCATCAAATTGGCCTTAGTTTTCCTTAAGAGAGAGTAACCTTGTTTGTTTGGAATAATCAATGTCTTTGCTTTCTCTATAAATTTTGTGTTTTCCATGATTGGGTTGAGTTGGACTTTGATTGTTTGTGAAGGTGTTAGCTTGTGAAAGAATGTGTCTGCTACTTGACGTGTAGCAACAAACATTCCATGACTAACTTTTGTTGTTTCTTCAACAACTTCATAGCTTGTAGAATTTGAATAATCAATGTTACCATCATCTATAAAATTCTCATTAGGGTTATCATTATCATTGATAAACTCCATTGAGAAATTATCAATGTCAGTGTCATTGATTTCTTTGTTTATGTTTTGTTGATCAGATTCTACTGCAAAAACAAAAGCTATTGTTAGTAATTTTATTTCTTAAAAACAAATATATAAAGTTGGGCAATTCTCTATAGCACCGACACCTCTAAAAAAACGCGTGAGTATCGAAGACACCTACTCTTGACCACACCTACATCTGAGAATACGTTCAATTTATTATTTTTTAAAATTATTTATGGTGTCGACGTGTCATTATCGGTGTCGTTTTCGGTATAAATATGTTATATAAAGTAATAGTAATTAATAATAATACCTTGCACCTCATTCTCTTTTCTATTTGTGTGGAAGCTCGAAATATCTTCAATTGGAACAACCTTTTGATGCTCTTCCATAAAACTCTGTCAAATTATTTAAATAATCATATGATAAAGTAAAGTGTTAGTTTATTAAATATATATACATTAGGGTTCTAGGCTAGTAATTTATAAATCCATTGAATTGAGAATATTAAATTAAATATTAGAATTATAGCATACCTTTTCTAAATCATTGCTTGACATTCCAACCCATCTTAAATTCTCAACCATCCTTTCTGTCTTGAATTCATCATCGAGATTTCCAATCTCAACTGATCTTGTGTTTGGATCTTCCCATGCTTTGTCATCAAATCTCATGGAATTCATCATATGATCACTCATATGATTGTAATTATTATTGCCAACCATAAAAGTGAAATCATTATCATGTTCATGAGTAGTGCCATAGTTTTCATTGCCACCAAATGCATGTGAATAGTTTGATTGGTGAATCAACTCCTGAGAAGCTTGAGCTACAGATAGAATTTCCTGCAAGATATCTGTGTCATTTCTGGTTGCACACATGGAACCCGAGGCGAATTGTGTCATTTTGAGATCAGAAATACCAACTTGAGGGAAGTCTTGCACCTCCAAGGGTGGCATGGTAAACCTATGTTGCATCCTTGCACACTCTAGTGCAATATCCACCTACAAATTTATAAATATTTTAATTCAATATAGACATGTAAATCGATACACGGAAATAGTTGCATTGCATCTAAAGGTTTTCGCGCCTAATATTTATATTAGTACATTATGAGAAAATTCGAAGAAATGCTGAAAAAGAAACTCGTAGTACCTTTGATGGAGGGTAATTCGGTGTGGATCCATAATTGGGAAATGATGAAGAAGATGTTGGAAGATTGAGTAAGTCCTCTGATAAAAACTGTGTCCAAATCCCATTATTATCCCTTGTGATATCTCCACCATTGTTGCTAAAAGTATTAGCCCTATCTAGGGTTTGGGTGGAGTTTGTATCCCAAGGCATCAAATAGTTTGAGCTCTCTAAAACTTCATCTCTTCCTTCAGAATATAACTCAATGCTTGATGATTGATCACTTGTCATATGATTTGCATGCCTAGTCACATTATTAACATACTGCTCCCCAACTTTTGGAACAATCACTGTACTCTTCTTGAATATTCGGCATAGCGCATATGCGTCCTGAAATCACAAATTTTTATACAATCAAATCACATTTTATCGTCTATAATCAAAACCGATAAAAATAAGGTTGGTGACTTGAGAGATATCGAAGAAGTATTAATCAGAGGTTCTGAGTTCAAACCTGCAATCCTGAAGAAGGATTGTCGCATTCTCTTTCGTCAAGACGATACTCATGCATAACCCAACCGGTACGAGATCCATGTGGAGCTCTTCCTCTATAGTAAACTAGGGTTTTCTTCATTCCAACAGCACGAGTCTGCGAATTCACCTTCCGATCTTTCCCAGTTGCTTTCCAATATCCAGATTTTGTTGCTCTATTTGTTCTTGATCCGTTCGGATACTTCCTGTCTCGTGGACTGAAAAAATACCATTCCAAATCTTTTCCTGGTAGCAATGATTTCCCTATAACAATCACAATACTTTTCAGAAACACATCTCTAGATATATATATTTGCATGTTTTGAAAAGCTCAAAATTGCACTGATGTAGAGAAAAAAAACGATATGTATCTTTAATTTGTTGACTGTTTTTTTGACTTGGGAATCCAACTATTTTTCTCATTACTATGCAAGTTTTTTCGATTTCACTTGGTGCAGATGTTACGATACTTCTGTCGCTGGTACGTGAATTAATCGTAATTTGTTCTTTTATTATAAAAAGATGAATAACAGTATTAGTATCAGCATCTATAGATACCGTTTTGTTGCGGCTGTTTTCACGATAACTTTGTTTTTTTTTAAACCCTGTTACTATGTACCTTGATGTTCACAACAGTAACCCTATAATTGAAGGACCATTCACCCTACCACGTTAAGTGCACCCCTAAATATTTTATGCCAAAGTAGAAAAAATATACTTGACCAATAAAGCAAGCATGTGTTTTTCCTATATCATTGAATAAAGATCAGAATTCAGAAGAAGCTAAATCGTGTCTAAAGAAATGTGCCTCCACTTTTTTTAGATTCTTTTAATTTGTTTTCACTGTTAAAAGCACTTCTGATTCAAAGCCACATTAACCAATAATGATTTTGCCAATGAAAACAAAATGGAAAAAAAAGCTGTTTTAATCTCATACTCTTTTGTTCTTATGTGATCTTCTTTTCATCAGTGTTAAAAATTCAAACCACTATACTAATAATCAACAACTCTTTTAGATCATATACATCCCTACATATCATGATAATCATCAAATTATACCGTTTTGTCGCAGTCGTTTTTAGTATATATAGATATTTGAGTGTAAAATTATACCTGGCAAGTCCCATGGTTCACACTTGTAGAGATCAACTTCAGGGATGATTTCCAATTCGATTCGACGGCCATTAATCTTTCTTTTGAGGTAATAAGAAACAAGTTCTTCATCTGTGGGGTGGAACCTAAATCCAGGAGGCAATGAAACAGGTGCCATTATGTAATCTAATAACTCACCAAATTACTATATGCACCCCCTCTTTATTTGAATAAATTGATAACAAAGAGTATAGAAATATCTACAAAAAAAACTCTATAGCTGCCACACAACAATTCCTCAGTCAAACCCTGCAACAAAAACATACACAAATCAAATCAAAATCTGATTACATAAACATAGGAAATTAATTATGTATGACGGTTTAAAAGAGAGAAAGAAATGAAGACCTTAGAAAGGAGAAAGAAGATCCTAAGGGAGAAACTGGGAGAGAAAAACTAAGAGAGAATGTTGAGGACCAATGAGGAGAGGGAGGGTGGAATGTTGTGGTTGCTTGGGGTTTTGATAAAGAGTACAAAAAGAGAGAGAAAGATTGGAAAAACAAAAAAGCATACTTGGATGTTGTGTCCACCTCTATGTTTCTTTTCTTTTTTAACTTTGAATTCTACTTTTCATTTGTTTTTTCGATCAATTAGATATTCCTTATATCTTAGGTTTCAAGCTTGAATTAATGATTATTATTACTATATATTATACATATATATATAAAACTTGATCTCTTCTCCTTTGATATTGGAATATTGATGCTATGCTTCTTGTTTGTTCTTTCGTATTTTTCACATTGCCATGCATGCATGGATGCATTTCACACATAGTTTTGGATTAAGAATATTTCATTAACGTGCATGAGAAAATCAATTCCTTAGGTAACATATAACTTAATTTGGCGGCTGTTAATAGACCCTTTCACATTACTTTTTGCATGTTGCCAACTTGATATATTCAATCTCTTGAGCTTTTTCAGCTTCTACTTATAATTAAGTACTTTTTCTTTTGTGTAGTTTATTTATGACTGAAAATGATGTAGAAGTTGATGAAAAAAGGGTGATGTAAGTTGATACTTTGAAATATGAGGGACCCATGTGGGACCAGCTTTTGCCACGTGAAATAAATAAAGCATCCACGTGGCATGGTAGGATCACTTGTAAGTTATCTCATCCTTTTCCTATCCAATACAAAGTTCTTCTTCCCTCATTATCTCCATTCTCATGTCATGCTTTCTCTTTCATCAATCCATCTTTTTGTGCTTTTCTCCTTTTTGAGTTTATGCCCCCATTTCAACTCTCTATTTTTTATCTAATAAATAAATTGTCCAATTCAAAGGTTAAGACTGTCATACTGAATGAGATTTTGCTTGGATAGATATACAAATGAGAGTAATTTTTATCTTACAAGACATTATTTCCAAATGATTTATGAGATTTTTTATGAACTATCATGTCACATTAAATAAGATAAAACAAGAACATGTATCTATAAATGAAGAAAATCTTCACTTTACAACATATTTTAAGCAAGTTAAGATTTATCTAAATTTCAAGAGGGTAGCAAAGTCTAATTTTATATAATTGTTAGTTATACTCAATATACAACATATTTGTCAAATTGTAAAAGTTAGTTGAAAATTAGTGCATATAGTTCTTATGACTAATTTCTTTTTCTTCAAGCAATTATGTTGAGAGAGGAAATCTGACTCTTAGATGTGATTTTTTTAACTATTCAAAAGAGCGTTAATAATGAATCTGAGAATTTTGAACTTTTTACATGATAATGCTCACACACATTTAAAAATAGTCTTAAATCTCTATCTTTTACTAAATCACCTTAAAGTATATAAATGAACCATCAAGGTGCATATGAGATTTTTTGACCATGTGATTCCATATATAATAGGAGTTGAATTGTGTGTGAACTATGAACTTGCAAGTTTAATTAAGAAGTGATCAAAGCTAAATAAGTTATATTTAACTTTACTATCGTTTTGATGATGACAATTCATGAGGATATAATCTGATTTTGATGACAATTCATAGAGATGCAACTTGAATTTGATCATAAGACAAGTAAGTAATGAAATTATTTCAAGCGGTCAAAGATTCACAAATAGTTTGATCAAACTCTTCTTCCGAATAAAGCCGAAAAATTAAGGTTTAATGATCACTGTAATGATGGTGTCTGGATTGAAGATATCTCAAGTCTAATCTCTAAAAATATTCAAGTGAATCACTTATATGGTTTATCAATTCAAAAAAAAAAATTGAAGCTTCAGAATATTAAAGACGGGAAGTGTTAAAGCTCGCTTAATTGTTTCTGAGTGATAAGTGTTTTGTAAAAACATAAGAAAATTTCCTTAAAGTAATATGGCTAAATTACACACTCACTAAAAATATTTTTAAATATTCTATTCTCAAAGAAAATCACCTAAAACTATTTAGGGCCTAGCTAGATGGGTTCAAAACTGTCAAAATAATTCAGGCTTATTTTTTGATCTGTCTAATTGATTGCACTATATACCCAATCAATTATATAAAGGAAAATTGAGGTAACAACTCTATAAAATCTTTCCAAAAATGAGCATAAATAATTGATTATTTAGGTCATCTAATCAATTGGAATAAGGACTCAATCGATTGGACAATTAATTTTGCCAATGGATTATTTTCTTTTTTGAACCATCTTTGACCTATAAATAGAGGTCTTTCCCCTTAACTTTTTACATTGATAAACATAAGATTTCTCATCTTTCTCTCTCTCTCTCTAAAATATTTTCTCTTTCTCCTACATAAATTTGGCTATAGTACTTTGAATAAGTTCGTCGTGTTTAAGTGAGGAAATTGTTATAGAAAGGATTATATTGTAAATTCACCGAGTTATTTTTCCTCTTGAGTGAATTTTTTCTTCCTTAGGAAGTGTTAATTTGTTTAAGTTCAAATATAAACACATCAAATGCTTTCGTTGGGGAATTTAATGGTAAGTCTCAGTTTGGTTGGTGATTTCAAACATTTAAGGAAAAACTCTGTTACTGGATTCTTGAAGATAACAAGTGGAAAATATTCTTATCGTTCTTGAGCTTATCCCATTGTAAATGCTCAGTGTTTCGAGATCAACCTGGTGTAAAATCTTAGTTTGGTGTGTGGTTAGCCCATGTAATACTTCGATTCGGTTCGGAGGATAGCAAGTTCAAAACCCCACATTGGTTCGAGATAAGGCGGTTATAGTTCCATGGTTCTATGGTTGGCTAAATTTTGGCTAAGCATGGTTCTAAATATGGTTCTATATTGATGTTGAGTAAGATGTTGTAATATCTTTATCAACTGTCATAACAAGTTCTGTTGTTATATATTTTTCTGCCAGATGTCACAGAAGATGTTGTGACATCCCGAGGCTGATGCAGCAGGCGCTGATTTTAAATATCCTTGAAGATTTAGTTTGAAGATATGAGTATCTGGATTATTATGTACACATTATAGGTGCAGGTCAATCAAGAATTTTATTAGAAATAGGTACAAATTTGATTGGTTACTAAAAAGGATCGATTGAGACTTTTTAGGAAACTTTTTATGAAGATTGTTTCTATTTTTGTAGAGAATATTCTGCAGAGATTTTTCAGCTGAAGATTGGAGTTGATTGAAGAATCCAAGTCAGTCCAAGCCCAACTGCAGAAGCCTATATAAGGAGTCGTCCAAGACCTAGTTTTTAAAGCATAATTTTTATTGTGAAACCTTGTAAAAAATAAGGGTTTAGGGTTTGATAGTTCCTTAGGTTTTGTGTGTTTTTGTACATTCTCATATATCTCTGATACATTTGAGTTGACTGATTGTTGCTTGTTGGTCAAGCTATTGTTCATCTCGAAGTTGTGAAGCAAGACTTGAGTATTGTTCTTGGAGGAAGCTTTTAAGAAACTCCTAGTATTTGTAATTTGGAAGTGTGATCTTCCTGTTTTTATTTTCAGGTTGTTGTGAGTGTGACTTGATTACAAACTTCCACTGGAATTGGGGTAGGTCTATTTATCACTACGGTGATTGGAAGAGGGGTAGTAATTTCTCATATCTAGGGAGGATCTAGGTTGAAGTTGAACTGGGTAGGGATTAAGTGAGAAGTTATAAACTTGGGACTAGTTTAGCTTCAAACTAATACTACTAATATTGGATTTCCTTCCTAACTTTGTAGCCCTCGTAGTAGGTGAGTTAGCATTGAACTGGGTTAACATATCATTGTGTTTTTTCTTTTTCTACAAGTTATAATTCTATTATGTTGGTGTTTTTTGTTGTTATGTCAGCAGATGTCATAACATTTGTTGTGACATTGTATGTTGTTAAGGCATTAGTCTTAACTTCTGATATTGTATGTGTGCCAAAATTTCAAATGGTATCAAAGAAGGAACCGGATTTTGTTTACTGGGTGTGATCCAGGGATATATTTTTCTAGAACTAGGGAGAAAGAGGGAGGTTATAACAGCAGATGACCCATGTTGGATGGTTCTAACTATGACTGATGGAAAGTTCGTATGGTAGCTTTTCTAAAAGCTATGGATAACAAAGCTTGGAAGGTTGTTTAGAAAGGATGAAAGCATCTTGTTGTGAAGATCATTGTCAAAGATGGAAAAGAGGTTGAAACTGACACAATCAAGCCTAAAGAAGAGTGGAATGAATATGATGATAAAGAAGCAATTGGAAATTGTATGAAGAGATAGAAGTTTGAGTTGTTGCCTCTTTCAGATGGGATCGTGAATGGAGTTTGAGCAAGTTTTGAGAAGGCCTGAGGATCTGTTTAGCTTGCCTGGACCTCCCTGAGTGTATTCCAATTCTTACTTTGTCTTGAAATTCCCTGAATCTCCCTACTCAAGTCAATCTGCAAGCTCAATATTTGAAAATGGTGGATGGTGGAGGAGGAGTTACAGTGAGAGAACAGGGGTCTGGATCACTTAGATATGAGGTATATTAAGTGTTTAGGTGGTTAAAACTCAAAACGCACGAGTGGTTTTGGAGATGGCTGTGTAAGGTTCAAAAATGTCAAGCTATGGCAAATTCTGAAATGCAGAGTGTTTGGGAGTGTTTTGGAGTCTTAGCATCCTTGTTTTATGTTGCAATACATTTGTGTATATGTATGGAAAAGGTTATAGATCAACTCCACTCCAGGTTTCTGAGTTATAGCCTTTT